AATCTGTCCTCGAGCGGAATATCCTAACGCGAGGAACAGAATTTCTCTGTCTCTGTTTTCCATCACTTCACAAAGCTCCCGAGAATTGGATAGGATAGTAGAAAGGGGTATTATGGGCGGAGAGGTGAAATCAATCTCTTTTGAATTGTCGCGTTTTATTCTTCATGCGGCATTGTACCTTTTATACACGACACCGTCCGGTATCAATTGCTTCGGAATAATATCGTGCTTTATTATTTAAAGAGAATCTCGTATTGAGTTGATGAAGACTTTGTACGATACGCTTTATGGTAGTAATTAATTGGAATATCGAAGCGGAATGCATTTTAACTCGATGTGAAATTTTCATATGTTTAATGAACGATCGAGTGGACGAGTCTGTTTTTCTAAATCTATCGGTAAAATATAAAATGTAAATAAATTACACGTGATAATTGTAGTGCAAAAATGAATTTATAAAATACATGTTGCTTTTATGTTAAATTTATTTTCTTATTCAATATATTTTTGTTACATTTCATTTCTTTGTTATGTTTCGATTCTTATTTATATATATATATATATATGCAAAAAATGAATTTTATTTTAAATATCGATTAAACAATGAGAGGAAAAATATTAAATATTTTATTAAATTCGAAAATATATCAAAAATATGAATTTAATATAGTGTGATGTATAATTTTTAAATTCATCATTGCATCCATCTTCTGTCGGTTTATTTACTGCAGAACGTTGGAAAATGTTGAACTTTCACGCAACATCGTTATTCACCAATTAAGATTGATAAGCGTGATTAGAATGAAGTCCCGATAGTGAAAGTAGAATATTTTCTGGTTTCGAGAATTCTAGATCTTTCGTCTGGCAAGTCAGCGTTTCTTTCTAGATTGAAAACGCTCGACCTTGTCGGTTTGATAGCCTTGACACAACAAATATCTCGTTTGCAACCGTGAACTATCATGGTTGCGCTCAAAAGTGAATCTTTATTCATAGAAGGAACAGCCAAGGGTTATACGCAAGAAATTGTACACGCGTGCACCTATGAACATGCACACGCCACGAGCACTTATTTTGAAAGAACTTAAAAAGTGGAAGTTCTTTCCGTGCGGGCGTAATTTTAAAAGAGTTAAGGTCAAGGTCTCGACCCTGGAAATTGAACGCGAGCGCAAAAGGGTTAATTTGCCGAAAAAAAAAAATTTTTTCCAATC